ACACAAACACACACACACACAAACACACAACACACAAACACACAAACACAAACACACACAAACACACAAACACAACAAACACAAACACACACAAACACAAACACACACACACAAACACACAAACACACAACACACAACACACAACACACAACACACAACACACACACAAACACACACACACACACACAAAACACACAAACACAAACACAAGATTATGAAACGGTGACGCTAACTGGAGGCACTGCTCTCTTTAAGACTTCAACACCATGGACCATGACTCCTCGCTCTGACCACACGGAAATGAAACCGTCTCTTTAAATCCAGTTTGTTTTTTTTCTCGAGTTTTCAGACTTGAATCCAAATTATTTATTATTTCCGTCGCCTCAACGCCGGGAAAAGTCCGACTTCTCCAGATCGTACGGGTCATCATCTATATTCTTATAGATTAGACTGATTTCTTTCTCGATTGTGGGTCTGAGCTGAACTCGTAGTGACGCTGTGAAAAACACTTCCTGCCTCCGTCTGAATCTCTCGAGTCGTCAGGGTCACGTCAACGAAACCAGAAAGAATAAAATATCGAAACTGAAATAGTCACGATGACAGTTTTTGATTGGTGTCATTGAAATAAACTTTAAATTAAATATTGGAAATCGAGCTCAAAAGAACAGACACGGACCGTTTGTTCATGTGTGTGTTGTGTGTTGAACACATGTAGAACTCCCCCAGAGCGACGTCTGTATACGGTTTAGATTTAACGCTGTAGGGCTGTGGGAGGGTCACTGTTCTTAAAGAAAGAATGTTCCAGACTCCTGAGGCCGCACACGTGTTTCTGCTGCTCGGTCCCTGACTGGGATCAGGTCCAGGAACATGGATCTTCTTTTTTAGTCGTTTGTCACGACTTTAGGGCTGAAAAACGACTCGACTCTGTGAAACGGCTGTGAAAAAAAACCCTGTGACTGTGTGAGAGGATCAGGACTAAACCAGGACCAGGACCAGACCAGGACCCAGACCAGGACTAAACCAGGACCAGACCAGGACCAGACCAGGACCAGACCAGGACTGAACCTTTAGTTTCTTTCTTTGGACAGAGAAGAGGCTAAACTTTGAGTATCCGTGTTTCGTTCCTTCATTTGTTTTTCAATATAAAACCAAAAATAAGAAAATGAAAAAACAACAGTTTTTCTTCATTATTTGTCTCCAAAACCAAAAGTTTTCAGTTTTGTGTTTAAATGAAAAATGGAAAAAACAGATAACGACCGTTTCCTTTTTACGTGACTTCGGTAACTGTGATGTTGGACTGAACCAGGACTGATCCAGGTCCAGGACCAGACCAGGACTGAGACCAGAGCAGGACCAGACTGGACTCCGAGCTTTGACTCCGAGCCTCAGCTTCACGCTCCGGCCCTGCGCTGGGCTCTGAGCCTCCGCTTTGGTCCCGGTCTCAGTCTCGGTCTGGCCCTGGTCTCAGTCCTGATCTCTGTCTTGGTCTGGTCCTGGTCTGGTCCCGGTCTGGTCCTGGACCTGGATCAGTCCTGGTTCAGTCCGACATCACAGTCACTGAAGTCACGTAAACGGGAAACGGTCGTTATCTGTTTTTTCATTTTGGTTTTGGAGACAAATAATGAAGAAAACTGTTGATTTTTTCATTTTCTTATTTTTGGTTTTATACTGAAAAACGAATGAACGAACGACACACAGATTTTTGAGCCAGTTTTTGTTTCATGTGGAGAGTTTAGTTCTGGTGAGTCCAGTCGTCCCTGTTTCCCTTTGTCCCAGTTTATACAAGAAATGTCCCAGTGTCTCTGTTTTTGACCAATCTGATCCTGACAACAGTAAAAAGAGACACAAACTGTCATTAGTTTTAGTAAAATACAGAAAATCGGATTAAAAACGACAAAATACAAAGACAATGTGACTGTAGCGACTCACTGAGTCAAAACTATTTTCCTTGATCATTCACTTGTTTTAAAATGTTTTTATTACAAACCAGCTTCAACTGAGACTGTCCCAGGGTTTGATTTTGAAATTCTGTCACTGTTACAGAGACAAACAAAAAGACCTGGAGCCAGAGTCCATGGAGCCCAGACGCGCCGTGAACACTTCCTGTTTGGAGCGTTAGCAGGTTATCTCTGTTCTTTCAGAAACACAGAGCAGTGAAGCTGAGTTCAGGAGACGCTTGATCCAAAAACAAAGTCAGTGACTGTAAAACAGAGTTCTTTTGTTCTCGGGATCAGGAGGTGTTTTCAGGCCGACAGAATCGTGCTGCTTCTGATTCTCAGTGTGAACGACTCACGTTTTCACGCCAGAAATCAGATCGATCAGGAACCTGGTCACACGCAGGAAAATAAATAAACAAAGAGCAACTGAAACTATCACGTATGAAATGAAAAGTTTTAAGTCTAATAATGATTTGTATAAATACAAACACTCGCAGGTGTTGATGATTTGATCCATGTTTGTTCTTTCTTCCTGTGACGTCTGTTTTCGTGTGGTTTTGTTTTTATTCGGTGTAAATCTCTCGGTCCGTGACGCGTCTTGACTTCATATAAACAGTTTGAACGTGGCTCGTTCACCGTGAGAACTTTGGTTCCAGTGGAACCAGGAACCGACACGACACCGTTCTGACCGACCTGAACACAGGTTTTCCTTGGGAACAGGTTTTCCTTGGGAAAACCGACGACCTCCACCTCGTTTGAGTTTCTAAAACACAAAGTGAACAGTCGGTTGGATTTACACAGTCACAGTGAAAATGTCGACGTCTTCTGGTCGTTTTGATCTTCAGTTTTGTTTGTGCAGAGAAAATGTCTCTAAAAACTTTAGAGACATTTAGCCCTGTTCACACTAGTGTGTATGTGAGTGGTGTTGTTGTGTGTACGGTGTCCAGAGTCTGAACGATCCACGAGTTCATCTGAGCACAGATCTGATCCGTCATTTTATTGGTACATGATAATTATTTGTATTATGTGATTATATTTGATTATTTTCTGGTATTGAGGACAGATTTTGGTTGAAGCGCGTCCGGTGACCAGCAGGGGGAGCTCCGTTTCAGCCTTGGGTCAATAAAACCACCGACTTGAGACCTGAAGACCTGGAGTTTGATTCACTCAAGTTTTATCCTCCTTATTTACAACAGATGTCGGGAGAAACGACTGGGATTTATCCACTACAGACGTTCAATAAAACTCAAAATAAAGTTCACGGTCCAGTAGTGACATCATGCTGGGGAAGGGAAGGGCGGGGGATCTGCACGTGTGCCTACGATGGAATGTTCAGCAGTTACCACGGTGACACAAAGCACACATCAGCAAAAACTGACCAAAAAACTAAACCTTTAATGATGAGAACTTGAGGGAAAAGTGCAGCACATTGTTTTCATTTCCCGGTGATGTGATCGGGCGCCGTCCTGCTCAGAAGTTTGATTTGGCTCTTAAAGCTCAGAGTGACTCACTTAAGGAAACTAGAATTTTAAAATAAAAATGTGGGACACTCGGTTTGTGGTGGTCGGTAATAAAATTGTGAAACGAGTGACAAGTAACTAAGGACCAATCCAGACCAACGTGAGTCAGAACAGCCACGTTTTCTTTGTGTTTTGGTCCTTTTTAATCCGATTTTCTGTATTTTACCAAAACAAATGTCAGTTTATGTTTCTCTTCACTGTTGTCAGGATCAGACGGGTTAAAAACAGAGACACTGGGACATTTCTTGTATAAATTGGGACAAATCAGTGCTTGTGGTTTTGTATAATGCAAACGTGTGAGGTGAGGTGAGGCGGAACAGTGTTACATAAGTCTTGGCTCTGCACCTGTGAAAAGCGACAGAGATTCATGTGACAGTTGAAGGGGCGTGTCCCCGGCAGGTGTGTTACCTGTCGACCGGGTCAGAGGAGGCAGGTTCAGTCAGTGCTCTCACCTCACAGACCTGGTTCAACCAACAGGAACGATTTAGAACGACTTCAGGAAGAGTCTGAGAGCCGCAGCTTTTACACACAAACTGAACCGGAGCCAGAGCCCGTGGAGCCGTAAACGCGCCGCGATCACCTCCCAGCGCCGTCATAATCCAACACATCCATCACAATCCAGTCACCAAATTATGAAGCAAATGATCAAAGCGGCGGAAGCTCGGCTCTGGTAACGTGTCGTCTGACATTTTAAATCATTTTCATCTTTCTTTTATCGAAAGTTTGCTGAGCTTTTCTTTCTTTTTTTGTCGGTTTTATGGATGATCTGTGACGGACAGGAACAGTCTGAACCAGAGAGGAAAAGTGAGCGGTGAAATCCGTGGTTCAGGTGGAGGATTTGGCGTCTGTGGAGACATCGGCTGCTCCAAAAGACGAAGACCAAACTGAGCCTGACCTCGTTCTGCGTCAAATCTTTTATTCCTTCTGCCATAAAAGTTTTAAATGTAAAGTGAATTTGTGATCGTGTCCCTGATGCTCTGAGGTTTGAAGGAATGTTTTTCTTCTTCTGTTATTATTTATAGATTGTGCACGACTACAGATGTGCCAAATAAAGTTGTTGATTGATTGACTAATACACCAGGAGTCACTCACTGACAAAACCCGACACCGAGAGACGCCGATGTTCCTCCAGAATCTGTGTCGTTCGTTCATTTGTTTTTCAATATTAAACCAAAAGTAAGAAAATTAAAAATCAACAGTTTTCTTCATTATTTGTCTCCAAAACCAAAATGAAAAAACTGATAATGATTCGTTTTTTCAGTTTTTGATTTTGTGTGAAAAATGAAAAAAAACAAAACAAAACAAAAAACAGATAAAGACCGTTTCCTTTTTACGTGACTTCAGTGACTGTGACGTCGGACTGAACCAGGACTGATCCAGGTCCAGGACCAGACCAGGACCAGACTGGACTCTGAGCTTTGACTCTGAGCCTCCGGTCTGGTCCCGGTCTTGTCTTGGTCTGGTCCTGGTCCGGTTTTCTTATTTTTGATTTTATATTGAAAAACAAATGAACGACACACAGATTCTTTTCTGTCGTTAATCTGAACCTGCAGCTCTGTGTAACATAAACCTGCTGTGTGTTTCTGTGTGAACACATTTTGTTGAAATGTTTAAACTTGTGTTTTCGTGGATTCGTCTGTTGACGCTGATAAAACGAGGAGAGATTCTGATGTTCTGGACGTCTGACCTCTGACCTCCTCAGAGTTTAGCTGAACTCTGCTGATGTACAGTCGATGTGGAGGTTAAACATGTGTAAGACGTTTCACTGTGGAGACGCTGCGTCGCTAAACAGAACCAGACTCTGGAGCTGCAGCTGTTTCCTGTCGAGTTTAAAGTTTCACTTCTGTGTGACATGAAAACTCCCCCAAATATTTACAGACGATTAACTTCTTCAGCCTCATTTACAAATGTTCTGCAAAGGTCACGGCAGATTTACTGTCTGGTTTTGGTGCAGTTCTGGGTCTGTACCTGGTCTTTGGTCTGGTTTCGGTGCAGTTCTGGGTCTGTACCTGGTCTTTGGTCTGGTTTCGGTGCAGTTCTGGGTCTGTACCTGGTCTTTGGTCTGGTTTCGGTGGAGTTCTGGGTCTGTACCTGGTCTTTGGTCTGGTTTTGGTGCAGTTCTGGGTCCGTACCTGGTCTTTGGTCTGGTTTCGGTGGAGTTTCTGGGTCCGTACCTGGTCTTTGGTCTGGTTTTGGTACAGTTCTGGGTCTGTACCTGGTCTTTGGTCTGGTTTTGGTGCAGTTCTGGGTCTGTACCTGGTCTTTGGTCTGGTTTTGGTACAGTTCTGGGTCCGTACCTGGTCTTTGGTCTGGTTTTGGTGCAGTTCTGGGTCTGTACCTGGTCTTTGGTCTGGTTTCGGTGGAGTTCTGGGTCCGTACCTGGTCTTTGGTCTGGTTTCGGTGCAGTTCTGGGTCTGTACCTGGTCTTTGGTCTGGTTTCGGTGGAGTTTTGGGTCCGTACCTGGTCTTTGGTCTGGTTTCGGTGGAGTTCTGGGTCCTGTACCTGGTCTTTGGTCTGGTTTTGGTGCAGTTCTGGGTCTGTACCTGGTCTTTGGTCTGGTTTTGGTGCAGTTCTGGGTCTGTACCTGGTCTTTGGTCTGGTTTTGGTACAGTTCTGGGTCTGTACCTGGTCTTTGGTCTGGTTTCGGTGCAGTTCTGGGTCCGTACCTGGTCTTTGGTCTGGTTTCGGTGGAGTTCTGGGTCCGTACCTGGTCTTTGGTCTGGTTTTGGTACAGTTCTGGGTCTGTACCTGGTCTTTGGTCTGGTTTTGGTGCAGTTCTGGGTCTGTACCTGGTCTTTGGTCTGGTTTCGGTGGAGTTCTGGGTCCGTACCTGGTCTTTGGTCTGGTTTCGGTGGAGTTTTGGGTCCGTACCTGGTCTTTGGTCTGGTTTCGGTGGCAGTTCTGGGTCCGTACCTGGTCTTTGGTCTGGTTTCGGTGGAGTTTTGGGTCCGTACCTGGTCTTTGGTCTGGTTTCGGTGGAGTTTTGGGTCTGTACCTGGTCTTTGGTCTGGTTTCGGTGGAGTTTTGGGTCCGTACCTGGTCTTTGGTCTGGTTTCGGTGGAGTTTTGGGTCCGTACCTGGTCTTTGGTCTGGTTTCGGTGGAGTTTTGGGTCTGTACCTGGTCTTTTTTGATCGTGTGTTTGCGGAGGATCTTGAGGATGCCGATTCTGATGGTTTTGCTGATGACCCACTCCTCCAGAAGAGTTTTCATCTCAGACTCCATACAGCTCATGGAGAAGCCCGGGCAGTGCTGGGGTCACAGGTCAAAGGTCAGACAGTAATTCACTCATCATGAATCTCAGACTTCCAGTCGTCGCACAGTTCATACTGGGAAGGATTTTCCGAACAAATGATCGTCAAACCTCCATGTTTGTTTTCCCAGTGGGATGTGTTTATTGTCAAAGTCGATCTTTTCAAGTCTTTTGAACCATTTCACTTTTGTTTCTGGTTCTGATATTGTCATATTTTAGTTTTGGGATTCGAACATCGTAATTGTTGTGGTTGTTGGATCCAAACAGCGGAAAACGGCTCGAGAAATGTGTTTGTGAACTTTATAAATGCAAAAGTGAATCAGATGTGTGTGACTCAAACCTCTGTTCAAACTGTTTCTCTTCACAACAGAATTGAAAAATAGTGAAAGGTGAAGGTGATGGGCAGAAATGATCCACAGGAAGAAACAAAAAGGAAACATTTAGATTCTCCAGAATCCGTGTTTCATTTGTTCATTTGTTTTTCAATATAAAACCAAAAATAACAAAATGAAGAAAACAACAGTTTTCTTCATTATTTGTCTCCAAAACCAAAATGAAAAAAACAGATAATGATTCGTTTTTTTCAGTTTTTGATTTTGTGTTTAAATGAAAAATGGAAAAAACAGATAACGACCGTTTCCTGTTTACGTGACTTCAGTGACTGAACCAGGACTGATCCAGGTCCAGGACCAGACCAGGACCAGACCAGGACCAGGAGCACGGACTCTGAGCTTTGACTCTGAGCCTCCGCAGGGTCCGAGCCTCAGCTTCGAGCTCCGGCCCTGATGTGGGCTCTGAGCCTCCAGGTCTGGTCCTGGTGGTCTGGTCTCTCAGTCTCGGTCTGATCCTGATCTCATTTCTGATCTCAGTCCTGCTTTGGTAAACTGGAAACGGTCGTTATCTGTTTTTTCATTTTGGTTTTGGAGACAAATAATGAAGAAAACTGTTTTTTTTTCATTTTCTTATTTTTGGTTTTATATTGAAAAACAAATGAACAAACGACACACAGATTCTTTGACAAGACAAAATCCTGATCCGTCGCTCAACCTCGGTTATGAATTTAAAAAGTCAACGCCAAAGTGAAAGTCTCCAACTGTTCACCAAGAAACACCTTCCACTGCAAAGACCAAGACGTGATGTTTGTGTAAAACCACAAGAACAAGAAAGTGCAGCTCAGTCTGTTTGTCTTCTGCTCCTCTACATTAACAAACAGGATTTTGTTTTGTTGTGGCTCCACATACAAAATGTTCTCTGTAAACTCAGGATGATTTAGACAAATGTTTCCTTTTTGTTTCTTCCTGTGGATCAATCCTGCCCATCACCTTCACCTTTCACTATTTTTCAATTCTGTTGGGAAGAGAAACAGTTTGAACAGAGGTTTGAGTCACACACATCTGAGTCACTTTTGCATTTATGAAGTTCACAAACACATTTCTGGAGTCGTTTTCCGCTGTTTGGATCCAACAACCACAACAATTACGATGTTCAAATCCCAAAACTAAAATATGACAATATCAGAACCAGAAACAAAAGTGAAATGGTTCAAAAGACTTGAAAAGATCGACTTTGACAATAAACACATCCCACTGGGAAAACAAACATGGAGGTTTGACGCTCACTTTTTCAGAGGATCTTTCTCAGTGTAAATTGCGCGATGACCTGAAGTCTGAGATTCGTGATGCGTGAATTGAAACGCCGTGAAATAAAAACATGAATGAATCTGTGAAACTACACAAAACTACACAAAACTACACAAAACGACCGCAAAATACCAAATAAGATCCGGGGCGTTTATTTGTTTCAGTCACTTCACAGACTAGTCCCTCCACTTTTTATTTTTATTTTTATTTATTTATTTAAAAGGGACGATGCATTTTCATGAACATAAACTTGTAAATACGCCAGAATCAGCCCGAAGGCGACTTTTCACCTGTTGTCCCGTCAGGTCAGAGAGACAAACACACAGAACACGTCACACAAAAGACAAAGTGTCAATGACGAGTGATAGAAACAACACGATACGACACAATCATGACACACAAACCCTGACGTTTGCACAGAAGCAGAACCTCAGTGAGACGAGCAGTTTTAAACGTCCTGAATTTACTTCTGGTTTGTTTTGTGTTTTTTAAATCATTTTTGCTGTTGTCCTGATTCCTGCTGTGGGAGCCCCGGGCCGTGATTGGTGGGGTTTGTCCACGCCCACTTCGCCTGCAGACTCCGCCCCCTGTTTAAGGCCCCGTTCACACTAGTGTGTATGTGAGTGGTGTTGTTGTGTGTACAGTGTTCGTTCACATTAATCCGACTGAAAACGGCTCCAGAGACGAAACGATCTGGAGCCTCCAGAATCTGTGTCGTTTATTTGTTTTTCAAAATAAAACCAAAAATAAGAAAATGAAAAAAACAACAGTTTTCTTCATTATTTGTCTCCAAAACCAAAATGAAAAAACAGATAATGATTCATTTTTTCAGTTTTTGATTTTGTGTTTAAATGAAAAATGGAAAAAAACAGATAACGACTGTTTCCTGTTTATGTGACTTCAGTGACTGAACCAGGACTGATCCAGGTCCAGGACCAGACCAGGACCAGACCAGGACCAGACCGGGACCAGACCGGGACCAGAGCGGGACTGAGACGGAGACCAGACCGAGACTGAGACTGGGACTGAGACTGGGACCAGACCGAGCCTGAGACCAGAGCAGGACCAGAGTGGGACTGAGACCGAGATCGAGACCAGACTGGGACCAGACTGGGACCAGACTGGGACCAGACTGGGACCAGACTGGGACCAGACTGAAGGCTCAGAGCCCACATCAGGGCCGGAGCTCGAAGCTGAGGCTCAGAGTCAAAGCTCAGAGTCCACTCTGGTCCAGGTCTGGTCCTGGTCTGGTCCTGGACCTGGATCAGTCCTGGTTCAGTCACTGAAGTCACGTAAACAGGAAACGGTCGTTATCTGTTTTTTCCATTTTTCATTTAAACACAAAATCAAAAACTGAAAAAATGAATCATTATCTGTTTTTTCATTTTGGTTTTGGAGACAAATAATGAAGAAAACTGTTGTTTTTTTCATTTTCTTATTTTTGGTTTTATATTGAAAAACAAATGAACGACACACAGATTAAACGGGGACGTGTGACTTTAGTCGTTTTTATCACAGTCGGTAACGACACCAGACGTTTCATCACATGTTTCCAGACGTTTTCCTGTGTGACGTCAAAATGGGAAACAGCCTCAAAACAACAGAAAATTACACCAAACGTTTGTATTTGGTTTGTGATTTGACAAGTTTA